CGGGCGGAGGGAGGGGCTGTGCCCTGTCCTTCCCTCGCCCCGCATCTCTGCGGACACCCCCTCTTGCCCCCGCCTCCCCACCCGCTTCCCGGAGTGCTTTGGAGGGACGGCGGCGTCGCGCCCGTGTGTCGCCGGCCTCCAGCACCGCATGCGTCCCGAGGCGGCCGCTTCCCTTGACGGAGGGCAGGACGTCTACCCTGACGGCAGGCGCAGGGAGCGGGCAGGGGGCACTGGAAGGCTCCCGCATGCCGCCGTCGGGCTCTCGGACGCGTCCAGCGGAGTTTGGGCTGGCCCCCGCAGCGCCGAGTGGCTTGCTGCGGGGTGGGTCGCGTCCTTGCCTGGGGCACGATCAAGTCTCGCCATGCCGCCCCCTCTCCCCAGCGTGTTCGCAGACATGCGTTGGCACCGGGGCACGTCTCGCGAATCTCCGGGGGGGCTAGAAGCCCCAGGGAGGCGCTCGCGGGTGCACGCTCTCCCCTCCCGCTTAATTCAGGCCTCGGATCGAGGTCTTCAGGGACTTGAATGCCATCTGCCCGCTTAAGGGTGCCGTAGACCACAGAACTGTCCAAGGCAAAGCACAGGTGTGGGCAGCCACCGCGCCGTCCTACCGTGCTCCTTTGCCCGGTTTCTGCGAACGCGAATCGGCCCCTTCGTGGCACAGTCGCCGTGCGTGGGGTTTTTCGTAAGCCCGGACGCTGTTTCTTCCATCTTGCCAGCTGCCGCTGGACGCGGCAGTCTCGTGCTCTGGGCACGCAGGCTTTCTCACTAAGGTTGACTGGTCCCAACTCTTTGAGAGAGACTCCTCTGTCTTGCAGGTTTGGGAGGGGGAATGGGTGGTCAGAGCTGCTTTTTCACCAGCCACCTCACAAGACTTGGACTGGATGCTTCACCCCGCTTGCCTGGCAGCAGGGTCACGGGGCTCCACCTGCCGTGGGCTGGAAGGGCATCTGCGGCGGGCTACCAGCATCTGCCGTAAAGCTTTTGGAGCCATTAGGATGCATGCGTGCACCAGGGTGGGAGAAGAGAGTGAGAACTCACTCTGCAACGATTCAATCTCCCTGCCTGATATCACAGAGTGCTTTCAGGCCTGCCCATTGTGGTGAGGCAGCACAGATCCACAAGATAACAGCGTCACGGTAAAACACGACGGCGCTTTAGGCTGTTTTTTTAATTTTAAGTTGGGAGGCTTCACGTGAAGCCAGACGACGCGATAAAAATAATGGGAGGGGAGAAGCGAACATCCGTGCCCAGTGCTGTTGGCAGGAGTGAGACTTCATCTTGATCCTATAGACAGACTGTGTTTTTGTGTCTAATGTCTCGCTGCGGTGCCAACACGGGCAATGCTCTGCGTCTGGTCTGCAGGGGTTGGGTTCTTTTGTCTGCTGCATTTGGCAGTTGGAGGTCTCTGAAGTTTGAGAGAAACAGGGCAGAGAGGGAACTAATGCAATGGCGCATTCTTGCCTATTGACTCCCAGGTAGCCTACCCAAAAATGCAAGGTCTCCCTTGCGCTCGGCATCTCTAAAACTCAGTCCTATAGCTTCCGGGATCATTTTATTCTATTTGCTAACATCCCAACTAGCTCGAGAGGCGGTAGGTATACCCATGTGCTGGATCTCACGTTGCAGAATGGATGGTGTCGATAGCTTTTTGTTTTGCCTCCAAGATTGACTGCCATCTTCTGCGCCAGATGTCAGCATGTTCCCTCTGTGGCAGCGGAGTATCTGTCTGGCCGTGATTGAAAACCTGAGTCTGAGCCATGCCCTGCATGGGCTGAGGTTACTCCAGGGCAGTGGAAGCAAGTGGTCCCTGCTACGGCAGGAAGGTAGTTAAGAAATGGAAGAGACTTTTCTGGAATGAGAGTTACGTAAATCCCCCTGGGATCCTTGCCACAAATGGGCCTCCTCAAACCTTTGCTCTCTGAGTCACGGCACAGAGGTGTTAGTACGGCGCCGCTGGAGAAATCAGCCCCATTGTTCTGTCACGTTAGTAATCTGGTTCTCCGGTGGTCGCAGTCGGGCCTGTTTGGCACAGCAAGCTGGGCGGCTCCCGCACGGAGCCCTGAGCTGCCTCCTGTGAACAGGGGACGACTGCACCCCGGGAGCCAAAGTGGAGCACGCTTCAGTGCTGGGGAGCTCCCTGGCAGATCGATTCCCCCCCTCACACCACCACCTTCTACCCCTGTGATTCGCAACGCTGTTCTGCGCTCCGGCTGGGACAGCGTGCCAGCACTTGAAAGCGAAGTTGAATGGCTTCATTACCATAGTAATGAAAAGCAGCAGTGCTTTTCTTGAAACTCTTGTTTCATTAGACAAACACACAGCCGCGGAACCGATGTGAAGTTACAACCAACCCCGGTAACTTCAACCTCATTATTTTGCCCATTATACACGTCTTCGCCGAGCACAAGCTATTTGTGCCCGACTGTCTCTTTCAAGCATCTTTGCTGAATAATACATAAAATAACGATGGAAATATAAAGGAAGAGGCTATGCCCTCTCAATCTCTGATACATTTCTCCAGCTCAGCGCAGCCAACTTATTAGTCCTGCAAAGCCCACATGCTGTGTCTGCTTGATTTTTTTTTTTTTTGTTTTTTGTTTTTTTTGTTTAGTAGGGCTGTTTCTTGTCTCAAAGCCACCCACAGCAAGGTCCTCGAGTTCGATTTCAAAGGCAACGGCAGCAAAACATTTTTTTGTTGTGTCAAATTAGCAAAGACTTCTGACTTAAGGACTTAAGGGCTTGATCCTCATTAGAGGAAGTCAGGACTTTGTACAGCCAGGCTTAATTTTAGTGAACAGTGAAACATTTTAGTGAGGAGGTTCCTTTCTTTTGGATGTGGTACCCTATTTAGACGTCTTAATCCTCTGAAGAGTGACTAGTTGAAACAGGGCTCCAGAAATAGCAAAGGATGTCTTTCCCCGCTTCCCCCGCCCCTTACAGCAAATCTGCCATTAGTTCAAGGCTCCACTTTTGCTGACCGCACTAACGAGAGAGTAGATGTCTTAATGGCAATAAGAGAGCAGGCTTTGTGTCTCTCCTGATCCGGTCTAGGGTAGAAATCTGGGTTCAGAATCGTCCTGGCTGCTGTGTCTAGTTCTGCATATTGCTTTTCGACTCTGCTAAGGCTTATGTTGCATGACAGATTTAAAAAGCAAGATGACCTAAGACAAATATCTCCAAGTTCAGCCTAGGGTGAGAGTTACATAACTATATACAACTGCTTTCTTAACAGAAAACCGTTCTGGAAAAACATCCGGGGAGCGGGGGGGTTAGAGTTCTGTGTGCCTAAAAGGGGCTCTCTGGTGCCTTGCCTTTCAGAAATGAGCTTTGCAAGTCGGGCATCTCTGGAGCAAGTGGCATCTGCAGCTAACACAACAGGTGGCACATCAGGATCCTTTCTTGATCTGCAGTTTGCTCACAGCAACAGCCGCTGGAAAAGTTGTACAGACAAGTCGCCGACTCCCAGCAAGATGCTGGTGAGCTGCACTTCTGGTAGTGTGAACTCCTATTTGACCAGTCGGTGGCAGCCCTTTCCAAATTCCCCAGATTTGAGGTCAGAAACTGATTTTTATTTTTATTTTTTTTAAAGAAATTACCAAGTCCTTATCTACAATGCTATCACCAGCCCTGCTCTTTTTCTGTGTCGCCTCACCATGAGATCTTTTGGTAACTCTTTATTCCTAAACCTAAGAGAACAGTTTGTTGCTTGAGCGGTGTCCAGCATAGTTTGTGTGTAATATGGTATGAAGGATACAGCGTTGAAATAGGGCATTTTAAAGACAAAGCCATTAAACCAGAAAATCCCACAAGCTGTTTGAGCTGTATCTATACAGCAGTGAGCTTACGTGTTATCTGGAGAGGCGGCTGTTCTGTTAGGTACCTGTCTAGTGGAGCTTGCAGCAGATGCAACAGAATGAGGAAGTGAAGGGGTGTTTTGGCTTGGGGTGGGAGAGGAAAAAACTTGGCTGGAAGACGCAAGCCGCTTGAGCGAGTCTAAGGTATACAGCGTTTTGAACAATGGCTTTGTCAGCTAGGTTGAGCTCCTGGTATGAGCCTGCATGAAACAACCCCAGGAATGTGTGCTGGCCTTGTTTCTTCCGATATCTCTTCCGCTTCTGGGCAGGATTATGTTCCTTCACAAGTAGTGTACGGCAGAATGTGTGCGCTCTGATAGGGAGGAAGTATGTGGAAATGCAGCACACCTGTGTACCTGCCAAATCCTTAGGAAACAGGTAGACCCAGAGTGAAAGTTCACCAATGACACCAAGCTATGGGGGAGTGTGGTCACGCTCAAAGACAGGCTGGCAATACAGGCTGACCTGGACAGGCTCGTGAAGTGGGCAGACCTCAACCTGATGTCATTTAGTACAGAGAAATGCAAAGTGCTCCATCTGGGGAGAAATAACCCACAACACGCTTACAGGCTTGGCAGGGCTCTGCTTGCCAGCACCACAACCTGCGTGCCATGATTGACAGCAAAATGGACATGAGCCACTAACGTGATGCCATAACTGGCAAAGCTAAACAAACACTGGCATGCATCCACCGAGGCATCTCGAGCAAGGCAAAGGATGTCGTCCTCCCGCTCTACTCGGCCTTGGGGAGACCACAGCTGGAGTACGGCGTTCTGGGTGCCGCACTTCAAGAAGGATGTGGGGAAACTCGAGAGAGTCCAGAGGGCCACATGCATGATTAGAGGCCCGGAGACCAAGACATGTGAGGAAAGGCTGAGGGACTTGGGATTGTTCAGCCTGGAGAAGAGAAGACTCATGTGGGACTCGGTTGCAGCCTATAAGTATATCAGGGATACAGATCGGGGCTTGGGGAAACATCTATTCACCAAGGCTTCCCAGGGGAGGACTACAGGTAATGGGCACAAACTGCCTGAGGATCGCTTCAGCCTAGGCATAAGGAAAAACTTCTTTACAAGCCAAGTGCTGAAGGTTTGGAAGGGGCTCCTCCCAGATGTGGTAGCCACCCTGGCAATCTTCAAAAAACATCTTGATGCCCATTTTGCTGGGGTCATTTGATCCCAGCAGTCTTTCCTGCCCATGTGCATGGGGCCTGAACCCCCTGATCTGTAAGGTCCCTTCCAGCCCCTAAAAACTATGAAAGGGAGAGAAGCCGCTGGGATACACCATCTTCCCTCTCAAGTGCTGCTCCAGGCAAAGTTCAGCTGTGCTTGGCTAATGCCTCCCACCCAAAGACCTGTCTTTAACCCAAAGGCCAACTTGCCTCTACCTCCTCCTGTGGACTGTGGAGGCAGAACTGTTCTTTGAGAGCTGAGTTCCAGGTTGAACAAATCCTGGTCTCCATTACCCTGGAGTTGTGTGTATCAACAAAAGCGATAGGTAGCCCATATTTCAATCCGGTTGTCTGCCTGATGTGCTCAGCTGGTCTCAAATGACTGCTAAATAAGCAGTACTTTCTTCAGCTTAGAAGGGAGCTTCCACCTCTTGTGGGATTCTTTGTGCAGAAACATCTTGGACGCAGCTATGTGTTTTGAACGCTGATTTATTATTTGTAGTGTGATAGCCAAGCCAATAAACACTAATGCACTTCCAAGTCTTGCTATCCCTAACACAGACAGAGGCACCATCTTCTGTGCCAGGAGCATACATAAACATAAGATCTTGCTGCATTTCTTAAATATTTTTTTGGTGAGTCAAAGGCCACAGTCCTTCCTTATACATAGCAGCTTTTGCAATGCCTCGTGAGCACCTGGCTCACTCTTTAGCTGTGGTTTGCTCATTGCTTTCTTCTGACTCTGTGCGGTTGAAAATCCTCTTGCAAGTCAAACCCTTAGACCTGTGCAAAAAGAAACAAAACATCAGCAAGTCCTTTCTAAATAGCTGACTTAAACAAGTATTGCTTTGGCTTCCCTGACCCACGCACGCGGGGCCAGCTCATGTGATGGGCAGTTCCAACAGAACTCAAAGTCTGTGCTTATTGAATTGGATGGCTCCTCAGCATATGCTTAATGGGGTGGGGGGGACACCTACAAATTTGGAGGCTTGCAGCAATTGTCTTCAGAGTCTTTAATGCAGTAGACAAAACTTGGACAGCTCTACTCCAGTGCAAAGCCCTTTGTCAAGAGTTGCCCACAAGCTGGTGCATCTATGTAA